ATGTCATATTACATTATAATGTAATATATTATATAGGTGTATTACTGTAATAATATGCTAAACTGCATCTATTCGCGCATTTATCGTTTATCTTTATATAAGTGATTACAAATACGACAAAGATAATGTAGGTAAATACGTGTTTTTGTACCCATGCAGTATAGCTCAATAAATAATAATAAATTCCTATGTATAAAAGTATTTTTCAAGTAATCCTATATATTTAATATTATACATTATTATAGGTATATACATGGATAGTGCACAATATACGTATACACGGTACATATCACTGAGGTGGAAATAGACTTTGATACTCAGGCGTGGTATATTATTTTGATGCAATAACGATCGCGTGATCATCGAGTACGGACGAGACATAATTGTTCTACGATTACACTTGGTCTAAAATGTATAGGTATTTGTTGTCACAATATAATACTTTTTTGGAAAGTCTTTTGTTATTTTCGTGGATGATGCGGTTGGTGGCGGTGAAAAGGTACTTACTTTGGTATCTATATAGTCACCATCCTCTACGATGCCATCTTTTTGAAATGGCGTATGTTATTGACTCGGAATATAGGTAGATTATGACCGGCAGCACATTTGTCGGTAAAACATCGTACATGTTTGTGCTGTGAACGCTTCTAACAATAACTTCTCGGACGTTGCGCCACGCACGAATCACACACACCGTATAATAAACTTAATAGTTATTATTTTTCACGTTTGCTTTATGCAGCGCTGTGTGTTGATTTAGGTGTGTGTATGTGTGTGTAAGATAGAGATAGTGAGTAAAAGAAGACGCAATACTATATACCTAATGTATACAATAATATAACATATTCCGGTTTGGCGTACAGTGTACGGACTATGGATTCATGAAACCAATCTAAATATTGAGACTTTATATCATTATATATGTTTAAAACGAACGCGTCATGTAGCCCATGGTATATTATTATTATTATATACTACGAGTGACGGAATTGTTGATATAATATTGTATGCGATTTTGGGATCACCGTGCCACCACGAGCCTGCAGACTCGTTAAAAAATTATTATTTGCACTAGTTTTTTTTTATTTTTTTAATCGCGTCATTAAACGTAAACAAAATCATAAAGTTTTATCAGCGTTTACTTATTATTATTATTATTTTTTATTCTGTTTATGTAATATTCAAGACGGAATATAGTCATTTAACTCGAATAAAAATGATTTATCAAAGTGCAAACAATTTTAGAGCGAAAAAATTAAGAGTTGCCCACAAAGCCATATTAAAACTTTAATCTTTCACTCTCCTTGAAAATCTCACGAAAAAATGTTAATTTTATTTTATTTCTTGCGCGTATTTTCCACGAAAAAAGTTCTTTTTCTGTTTTTCTGATAGATTTGTGCTTTCATCTGCGGTGTGTTAAAATTGTTAAATATATTTGCTCGAGTGGTTGACTTCTAATAATAATGATTAAAATTAAAGTCTAAATAATTTTTTTTTTTAAAACATTTATTTTTCGTTCAAAATATACGTATCATATTACATTTAAAAACTCCGAAGGTAAAATCATAATTATACCAAACTAACTTTTATATTAATTTCCTAGAATTTTGCTGAGAATATTAGGAAAGAATTAATATATATTTTAAAACTTGAGGTTGGAGAAATTATTAAAAAAATATTTAACTTAATGTTTGTACTGTACATTTATTTGAAAAATCTTATATCTAATTAAGTAAGTGACCAATTGGCAATTACGAATGTATATTTTACGTGTAAATAAAGTACATACTTTCGTCATATTTTTTTAACACTCATTAGTCGTTATAAACACTCATTTTTTTATTTCAAATAATTTAACGTTGAATTTCCAAGCCTAAAATAAATTTTACATGATATAAATATTATTTAATATTACAATTATAATATAATTGTGGTTTTGAACATTTAATATATAACATGCAATTAATAAAAATTGTATGTCCTATGCTTGGCATACCATAAATTAGTTTATATAACTGAATAGGTACAGATCACAGTTGTACGATAAACCGAATCGTTGTAAACATACATTCGTAATTATTTTATTTCATACCAAATTAATTCCGGAAACGTTGTACAAATGAAAAACGGAAACAGCTTAATCGTGTGGTGAGTTTACCCTTTTTTTGTGTGAACAATTTTATTCGGATTTGTGAAATGAAAATAAATTAAGTAAATGTTTTTTTAGTGTGTAGTTGTGTATGCTAAATTCACTATACAGGTATTTGTAGAATATAGATATTTACTAGACGAATACTATAATGCAGATGTACCTCGACATGAATTAATTCTAAAGTCAAAATCTTCTTGTCGGGTTGATGTATTAAATGTGACTCATCCGTCTGTTTTGATCAAACATACCAACGAAATACAGTTCAAGCAAATCGAGACAACATAATATTGTATTGTCACTTGGCAGGATGACATGCCTAAATAAGTGATTAGATTAACTGAACATTTACATTTTACACAAATATGAAACTAAAACATCCTTCACCCTCATTTACTAACTAGTAATTACATATTCAGAATATTTAAATTAAACATCGAGATGTGGGGTGCGTTGTAAGTAATAGTACCTCGATTTTTCAGGTATAACACACACAAAAAAGGTGTATAAATGCATACAAAATAATATTTTATCCTACGCTATTGGTATGAATAATAGGAACCTATTTGAAATAAATGTATATTAAAAATGAGACAAATTGTATTATTTAAAATTTCAACTGTAGTTAATTGTTTGGTATATGGTTTAAGGCTTTAAGCTTAGGTCGGATACAAATATATTATAGTACGTCATATACATTCTAATATAAAATGCATTTCGAATACTATTAAAATTTGAATAAACTAAAGGATCAATTAACAGCTTATAATTAAAATATTAATTATATGATTTAATTTATGTATGCTGGAATGTGATTATATATGTTTTCGGGGAAATAAATCAATATGAAACTATAGTGTGCTATTAAGCCGTTTTTACTTTAAAAAACATTTGATTGCTGAACAAATTTGAATAAGCATAATAACTGTTAGATATAATACGTTAAATAAATATGTTGGTAGCTATAACAGAATTAAAAATGTATTTAATTTTTAGAAATATGAATAGGATTAATTATTTTGTTTTATAATATGTAAAGTGTTCTAGATAAATCCAATAAATTGAATGATTTCAGTTATAAATTGTATAAATACCTAATTATAAGTTGGTATGCTAATACAGTTGTAAAGATAAAACCGCAAAGGGTTGCCGGACGCAGGTGACATATTCTTTATATTCAATGCTTAGAGGAAACATGTTGTGGGAGTTGCGATAAGTAGTGTAGCTAGTTGGAGCCATTATAGGAAATCGATTATGATTCATGACCAAGATATGTATAAAGTCAAATGATTAGAGAAGGTTACGATAGGGTATTTTTTTTTAAAAGAAGCGGATTCCAGTAGAGCCACGATAAATTGTGAGTGATACACCTTTATTCTAGTTTACAACGTAGACTAGTAAGGATTAATGACGACTATTTGAGCTGCCGGACGTTCCACGAGGCATTTGAGTTAGGAATGGTCGGCAGAAGGGAGAAGTAGGAGCATACACACGATTTTCTGGAGTGTAACATGCAGAGCGATCTCATTCAGCTATGCCGGCGTGACCACTTTTCTTTTTAGGTCAATATTATGTGAAATGGGAGTTTAATATAGAAAGTTTTTTTGTAGGAATATGGCGGTGTGGTTAATGGGGCTGGAGTAAATTGCTAGGAGGTGAGATTGAAAGTATGAAGAGATTAAAAATGTTATTATGGTTTAAAGAAAAATGTAACAGCAAAGCGTTAATTATGGCAGAGCATATTCAGTGATAAATGATGAAAGGAAGGGTTGTAATTTATCTGTGAAGGAAATATTGAGTTACTGGGAGTAAAAAAGGTAAACCTCTAGAACTGGAAAATCCTGAACCATTCGTTAAAACAAGTAAAAATTGTTTTCATACATGAATACAGAAATAGAATATTTATCGAGTTTTAAGTATTGTATATTGTATTTAATAGAAATTTATGAATATAAAAGAAATCTAAAAAAAAAAAATTGTAATAAAATCAGATTTCTGAGAAATGTGTAGAACAATAGGCTTATTTGAATTATTTCTAAATCGTATGTTTATAAATAATATGATAGTACTTCGTACTTTTATTTGTTGTTTAACGCATTAAAAACAAAAAGTGTATTTCATTTGTTTAGTCACACAATTATTACTTTGTCATATTTCATTTTTTGATGTTGAATAATAGGATTTAATACAATTTATACAACAAGTTTGAAGTAATATTGTATATTCTAACTGATTATAACATTTATAACTCTGTAGTCTAGACAATTGTAACAGTATGTTAGTATGTATATAATAATAATATACACACAATTACATACATAACAATATCTAGCCGCCTGCAGGTGCATCCAATTTAAATTTTATTCTTAAAATATTATTAAAAAAATAGTGTTGTTTTGAGAACATGAAGAATTCTTGACAGCCAATTATGGGGCTTATGTTTATAGATACAATAGCACGTTGTGTGTACAACGGCAAGCATTTTATATTATACCGCAATAACGATATTGCAAAGTCAAGTGTTTGCACCATGACAAGGAGTACTTAAAATATTGGTTAACTACTATACGTTTTAATACATACTAGTGGGTTGTATTGTTTAAAAAACAATACTAATTTTATCAGATCAACCATTTTACAATTTTCATTATTATGTAAATATGTAATATAGATAGTACCTATTATGTACCTTTAGTGGTTTTATTATTAATATTTTTTTCTTATGTTTAGTGATAATTACAAAATAGCAAAATTAGTGATAATATTGTTATTTTTATATGGTCTAAATACCACATATATTCTCAACGTAATATAACTATTTAATTAAAATCATATTTTTGTGTGATTTCAGGGCAAAGGAAATTCGGCTATAATGAAATCCTTGCACAAGCCAAAGGTAAGCCATGATTATTATGTTAAGTCATAAAATCCGTGAACGAAACAATAGTATTTTTGACAATATTTGTATATTATATAAACAATTTGTTTTACTTTTTTTCTCGTCATAAACTCATAAATGTTGAGCTAAATATTATTAATGACGCATAGCTCAGAAAAACATTAATTATTATTATTCCAATATTTTGTATTACTCCTATAATATATATTATTTTAGCATGTAGGTATGAATTTGTGTGGATATTTGAACACGCGCATTATTATGTTAGGTTTTTGATACATTTTTAATATTTTTAATTGGCATGTAATAAAGCATTTTTACAGTGGTTCTTGAAACGTTTGTCGATTACTTTATTTGCAGAGCCTTCGTCTGTAGTATGTGCACTATCGGTATACTGTATATATGTATAATATACACCTGATATGTATTATATACCTGTATATATCTTAATATATATATATATATAACCTCAGTGGCAGGCACGAAAATGTGAAAAGCACACAGGTGTCCGACTAACTAATCAGTCAACGGAGAGTAAAAGCGTGTATAATAGTAGTCGTCACCAAATGCGGACTTTGATGATAATATTATAATGTGTATACGTATTATATTTAATAAACTGTTAGGTAACTATCAGAAATTTGTGTTATAAAAATTGAGGTAATATTGTAGGTAATATTGTACCTACTGATACCCGAAATTCTAATCGCACCGAAATACTGAATATATTATATAATGTAAAAAATGTGTGTGTTGAGTTATTTGAGACTATACATCGGTATAAAACGCGTGTTCTCGAATCTGCGGCAGAGTGAACCGTAAACGAATTGAAGGAGATTTGTAGGCGGACAAAAGTTTTCTCGTATCGTAAATAATAATTGAATGCGCACATTTCTGATACGGACGTACACAGTGCACAGGGTTATGGAAAATAGCTTGAAACAAAAGACAAAGTGTGTAGAGTATAGTATCTGTTGTACGCGCGATGCTGGGGAAATTCGAAAATCCATACTTTGCAAACACATTAGTGCAAAAAAACTATATATATGGTCGTTGATTATATTATCATTTATCAAACTTCAGTTAACAATGAACTCTTGTGTTTAATTATATACTTAAACAACCCGTTTCATTTAAATAACTATAATAATTAATACATTATTATCATAAATTGTACACACTGCACTAGTGCACTACGCATATTATATACGAGTATAGGTAGATTGTAAGTGGGTACCTAAAATATTGTTTTAATTCATCATAAGTTGAAGTAAAGAAAATATTTATCTACTTTGAAAATGAGTGGATTGATCGATCCGATAGTAGGTACATTCAGATTTCAGTGGGATATCTTATAATATCTATTTATGTTTCATAAATTATGAAGTTAAAATACTTACAATTTGCAAATAAAAAAATGTTAAGGGCATGGTTTGTTTAAGAACGAAATTGAATAATTAATGTTAAATATATATTTAAATTGCATTCATAAAATTAATTTATAACATGTCACCTCGTGCCAATTCGAGTTAAAGATCAAGGCGTCGGTCGCGCGTTGTCTTTCAATGACAATAATATTAATCACAATATGAACCTAAAATATAAAACTTAATATTTATCTACCTAATTCTATTGTTATGTATTTCTATACATATAGTTATGATAATATTTTAATAGTGCTAGTTTTTTTTTTAAATGAACATCATTATATGTGATTAATACAAGTTTATTAAAAATAGGCAAATACAAATTTAAATATTACTTATTAATAGTGTTATATTTCATACCTTTTTAAGTTCAACCACGTCTCTAAATTAACACTGCTGTTATTTCTGCATAAGTAATTGTTGTTTTGTTAATAATTAAAAAATATAACAATTTTAACCTCACCAAATATACCTAAGAAACGTTTTTTTTAAACAATAAACATAATACATTTTTATAAATTTATAAAGTTTCTAAAACTGGTGTTTTTTTTATAGAACTAAATAAACTGAATAGAGAGGTTAAAAGGCATTTCGTGAGATTTAAACTAGTTAAAAAAAATACCGTCCGTGTGATAATAATTGAGCTCCTTAGTCTTTAGTGCTATTTTATTATTTTAACGATGATGAACAAAAATGTCCTTTGATAAACATGGTTTATGACCTCAAAAATATACATGTTTGTTTTACCTATATAAGCAACAAGTTATTATAAACTTACTCTTGGCATCAAACAATTTTAGCAAAAGTTTAACTAGTAATAACACTTTTGAAATGTAAGTATGTGTAATATGTACCACGAGTGATGTTTATTTATATACTAAATCGTTCATATTTAATATAGTGAATGTTCGAATGTACAATAAAAATCTTAAATAACTAGTAATAAATATAATATTATATATTAAATAAATATTTTTTTTTTTTTATTGGTCTTGAAACTATAATAATTTCTGCTTCTTCTACTAAGACCATTAGCATTATATTTGTATATACATAATACATTGCTTAAATCCTATAAAGAGGAGAAAAGAAAAAAAATTTAAAAAAAATTTCAGGTTTAAATTAATTATTTATATATTATTTATGTACATGACAAATGTATTATTAGATATTTTATAATATTTTAAGTTATTTATCAATTATTGATAATAAAAAAATATTATGATCTTATTGACAGTTAGCTGCCAGCCGCCTTTATATTTTATTGAAAACTTTAGTAAAAACTTAATTATATAAATGTATTGTTAACTGTAAATTATATAAGATACAATGATGCTAAATAAATATTTTCTAAAAATAATTCTTTAAAAAGAAATCCACAACAACATAACATTTGACGTACTTGTGATACATAAAAATTTAATTAAAATGTGATAGTCTTCATGATGGCCGATAGATCTTACTAAAATATAAATATAATATTATGTTTGTAATTTATATTATATCATAAAAGAGTTCACTATTGTAATGTAGTAGGTGGTGTAGTACTGCGGTATTATAATATTTTAATTTATGGAGTTCATTTTGTTTAAAACTTGACTAATTATTTTTTTCATAATATAGATATTAATTCTTATAGTAAGAATATATTATTTTATTTTAATTTATTTTAACGAATCGAACTACGTTAATAATACTACCTATCTATGGAAGAATTCTTGAAGGATATGTCGTAAGTATAAAGTTATTATTACACACAAACACTTAAAAAAAATGTTAAAAAAACAACTTCATTTTCGTTTACAATAAAATATGAACATAATATAATGTCGAACGTTCTAATAGAATGTAATGAAGTGTATAGAAAACATGTTGATCAAAAAATATAAACTATATTATGATATATACTTACATATAGGTGTATACTGTATGTGTATCGGAGAATTAAGCGTTTGAACTTTCTACAAAGCTTGCAGTCTTTTTCTTTTATAAATCAATAATTTATTTAAATTGAGAAAAACTGAATAGCTTGTGAGTTGTCAGTCTGGTTTTACTGGAAGGTCTAAAAAGTAAACGTAAGTAAATAAAATTAGGATACCGTGAGTTGTGGCTGGTAGTATTTTTCAATACAAGTTAAATTACATTTTCCTTTTCATCCAAAAAAAAAAAAACTATTTTCATGCTGTATGTTTTGTATTTCGTAAGATGTATACAGAGTCTTATATTTTTACAGAATACTGAAACGCCTGAATCTAGATAAGAAGATCAAATAAATGGGTACATACATATAGATAAATAAGTTATAAAAATATTTATTTTTGCAGTTCTTTCATTTTTTGAACATTTTTTTTTAATCCTTCCTTGAAGTAATAACTCATAGTAAAATATTTAAAATCAACAGATCTGATTCATTCGGGGTAACAATATTATAATGTTACAATTAATTCAGTTTTTTCGTAGATGCATTTCATGGTCCTGCAGTTGCAACAACAGGACAGCTGAATTTTCAAAAATTTCACAGGAGAAATAAAAAACTGTTTACATTTTGTTAGAAAAGTCCATTACAGAATCTATTTATATAATTTATTTCTGTATGTGATGTGTAATAACAAATGATAATTAATAAAGACAAGACCTTAATCTTTATCTTTATCTGTTTTATTCAAACTAAGTAGTGAAATATATTGAACTTATAGTTGATAACTACTGCAGTGTTGGAGTTTTCTGCAGGTTGTTGCACCAAGTACAATATATTATATTACTTTAAATGTAAGAAAAACTTTAAGAATACAATTTAAATTTAATTAAAACAAATTGTATTTAAGTATGAAAACGTTTTGTAATCAAAATATAAGAAGCTATATGTGTGTTACACTCAAACACAGTATCGATGAACTCCTTGTTATCATTAATTCAATAAAGAATAATCTGAGATGTCCGTTTATTGCGTCTACTTATAGAGATTTATTTCTTTATATTTTGGGTGAAAAAACTAATTTTGCAAAAAAAATGTAGCTGTTTGATTGTTGTAGTAGGCCCTTCGTTGGTAGGTAGTTTTAGGGAAGTGTAAACAGTAAACTATTTCCCATGATGCCGTTTATTCAAATACGAAAAAGATATATATTTGTTGATCAATGATCTATAGTTACGAGTAAAAACTAGAAGACTATAAGTGATAACTTGAAATATATTTTGAAATTTAAATATATAAAAGATAAACTGTACTCTGCAGTCACTTAGAAGTCATACATCGTTAATTATTACATTATCAACTGTATAGCCATATAAGATTTATAGATACTATAGATACAGTAATCATCATACAGTACACGTAGGTACCTATTATTTTCAATAAAAACTTTAATGGCAAAGTAATTTAAACTTTCAAAGTGCTATTTAAGTTTATTTTATATACTTTTACACAAGTTAAAAATAAACAAATTATGACAAACATGAAAACGGGTTAACTGGTGTTTTTTAAATTTTGATTGTTATATAATAAATTGACGTACCACTTAAAATGGAGCCTTCATATAATCATATAGTATAGTATGGTAAATTACCAATTAG